TAGAAATGGCCTATTTGGGAAATAATGTTCAAATCTTTACTTGTTCTGCACAAAAAAACCATTTTATAAAAATCTTTGGAAAACCTATTTTATTACAATAATGTTTAATCATTGAGTAAAGTATTACTTAATGGTCTAATATTAATATTTAATAACCTTTTTCGAGGGAACACAAGCAAATACAACCACAAAAAAACACAACAAGGTGCACCGGCCTAAACAGGACGATATACCTTCACAAAATACAAGGATTATCCAACTCAATGCAAGAAGTGCAAAGCACAAACTTACTGATATTGAATTATTAACCATTGAATTAAAACCCAAAATACTAAGCATCTGTGAAACCTGGATAAACGATAATGAAATTCAACATTTTACTATTGAAGACTATAACCTGGTAAATTTTTATTGTAGATCTGGGGCTCGAGGTGGAGGCACAGCCATATTCTGCCAGAAAAATCTAACAGCACACAAAATAGATTTGAACATAGGCGGAGTAGACAATCACTTTGAATACAGTTGTGTAAGTACAATTTTAAATAAGAAAAGGACAATAATTGTTTCAATTTATAGATCCCCCGATGGGGATATCGAAATATTTATAGATAAATTACATAGTTTACTAACTAAAATCAACAAAAAATATAGCTACATATTCCTATGCGGTGACTATAACATTAACCTATTGGTAAACGATTTAAAAACCAAAATGTTTCTTGACACCCTCAACGGTTTTAATATCAAACCCATGGTGAGTACACCAACGCGCCTTTTAAATACAAGTAAAACTTTGATTGACAATATATGTACAAATTATGATGCCACTCAAACTAAAATTGAGCAATATAATATTGAATTCTCCGATCATCAGGCAATAGTTCTGAATGTGAGCGAATCAAATTCACCAAATAAACTATTTAAAATAAAAAGAACTTACAATAACAGCTCAAAGCACACATTTAGGACCTTGCTTGAAAAAAGTGATTGGTTAAATGTATTCAAAACTGAGTGCATCAATGAAAAATATAAAAATTTCTATAATACATTTAAACATGCATTCGACGTGGCATTTCCTTTAAAAAAGGTAAATGTGCACAACAGTAACTCAAATAAAAAAGGGTGGATAAACAAAAAAGTTAACGATCTCTCCAATCAAATTAGAATAATATTTAATCTATACAAAATTACAAATAACAACAAATATAAATTAGAATTATTAGAACTAAAAAAACAACAAAAAATAGCGGTAAAAGAAGCTAAGCAAATGTTTAACAACAATCTATTAAGTAGGTCAAAAAATTTCTCAAAGACTGCTTGGTCTCTAATAAAAACTAACAAAAAAAACACAAATAAACAAATTCAGTTAAACATAAACGGAAACGAAATACAAGACCCCAGTCAATTGGCCGAAATATTTAACAACCACTTTAGAGAATCTGTATTAAATGCCATCAGCAAAAACAACATAAAATCAACAAATATTCAAAGACACACCAACAAATCATTCTTTCTTACCCCCTCTCATCCACAGGAACTTATAAAATTCATTAAATCAGCAGCAAAAAAAACATCCAAGGGTCCAGATGGAATTCCAGCGAATATCCTTTTAGAAGTCACAAATACAATCGCTATACCCTTAACACACTTAATCAATGTCTCTTTTGAATCCGGAGTTTTTCCCTCCCCCCTAAAAATTAGTAGATGCGTACCCATAAATAAAAAAGGTGAGCATGATAAGGTAGAGAACTATCGACCAGTGAGCATCCAGTCAGTGTTTTCAAGAATATTAGAGAAGGCAATGGCGTGCAGGCTCATAGACTATTTCGAAAAATTCTCTCTATTATCCGAGACTCAACACGGTTTCAGAAAAAACAAAACAACAACTACCGCCCTCTATGAGGCGGTCTCGTCAATTACCAAAGCACTGGATGACAGACTTAGCGTGGCCGGAATATATTTCGACCTCACTAAGGCTTTCGACCTGGTGACTCAGGCATACGGAATAAACGGTTGTGCCAAACAATGGATTGAGTCGTATCTAAAAAATAGAGTCCAATACGTAGACATAAACGGGAAAAAATCAAAAACAGTTCCTTGCGAATACGGCGTTCCTCAAGGAGGAGTACTGTCGCCGCTGCTTTTTCTAATATTCTGTAATGACCTCTGGTCAAAGCTAGACGAAGGAAGTGGTTCCCAGGTTTGTCAGTTCGCCGACGATACATCGGTCGTTTTGTCGGCCGAAAATTTAGTCAAACTAAGTCGAAACGCCAACAAAGTACTAAAACTAATGTCAGAGTGGTGTCAAGAAAATAATTTAATACTAAACCAAAAAAAAACTGCAATTATCCAATTTAGAAACCCATACCACCCCCAACAAAATTCAAGCATTTGGGTGCATTCAAAAAATGAAAGCATTGCTGTAGTAACAAATACCAAATTTCTTGGTGTTAATATTGATCCTACATTACAGTGTACCCTCCATGAAGATTTTATAACTAAAAAGCTAAGTAGTGCTACTTATGCAATCAGAATACTCAGGGATAAAATTTCCTTAAACCTATTAAAAATGTTCTACTTCGCCTATGTTCAAAGCTATTTAAATTACGGACTGGTAATCTGGGGCTCTGGCAATATGCAAAGAATCCTTTTAGCACAAAAAAAACTTATTCGCGTTCTAAACGGATCGGGCTATCAAGACCACACTGCACCTATATTCATTAAACTAAACATAATGACCATATACTCTCTGTACCTGTACAATATAGTTATGTTTGCAAAAATGCATCAAGAATACTTTTCTCCAAACTGTGCATACAACAGATCTAGACCAACTAGATACGGACACTTGATCAGTATACCGATGCACAATACAACCACCTATGAAAAATCTACCCACTTTCGAGCTCTCAAGATCTACAATAAATTACCAGCTGCCACAAAAAACCTCACACTCAAACTTTTTAAAAAAGAGGTAAAATATTTTTTTACTCAGCACCCATTTTTCGGTGTGCAAGAATACTTCAATTTTGATTTTAATGTATAATATGTCTGTATCACTATCATATGTTTGTATAATTATCATATGTTTTTATCACAATTACATGTCTGTATCATATTAATTGTAAATGTAAAAACTACTATTTGTAATTTATTAACTACTATTTTATAATTGACATTATCCAACAAAATGTAAATTTTTTATATGGAAATAAACAGTATTATTATTATTATTATAATATATTAAAAGGCTTAAATTCAAAATATATATTTAACAACAAACATTTATTTAGTAAACACAAAAATAAAATGTAACTTAAAATTAATGGTAAAACAAAAAATATATCCTTTTTAACTATTTATAAATAAAATATTAAAGTATCTTGCGATTTAGGTAGGAAATCTAGAAATATATCTCTAGTTTGCTAAATATATTTATAAATATATATACAGGGTGTTTCATAATATATGCGCAGGACTTCAGGATGTGATAGCTCATCCAAAAAGATGAAAAAAGTCGCTATTAACTTACCCTCTAAAATGAACAATTTTCAAGATACAGGGTGTTAAAATTTTAGAAAAAAAAACTACTAATAAAACAAAATTTATTTTAACCTTAGAACAAGTAACAAAACCAAAAGATAATTGCAAAAAAAATAAAAAATAATTCAAATTTAAGTACTTTAAAGTTTTCTTTGCGTGCAATGAAGATAACGGTGGACATTTCCAACATTTAATTTAACTTTTGAATTATTTTTTATTTTTTTTTTTAATTTTGCAATTATCGTTTCGTTTTGTTACTTGTTCTAACGTTAAAATAAATTTTGTTTAATTAGTAAAAAATATTTTTTTTTTAAATTGACCATGTTTTTAAACATAAAAGTTGATTTTTCTTGAAAACGGTCAATTTTAGAGCTTATGACAAAGAGTACCTTTTTTGTGTAGAAAACATTTGCGGATGGAATGGGCCTCTCAAAACCGTACTTTTTTCAGGGGCATAGAAGTTATAAGTAAAAATAAAAATTTTCTGGCACAAAACATAGCTTATTATGAGTAGAAAATGCTTACAAAAGCTGTTTTTTGTACGATAAATGGTTCCGGAGATAGTTCCGGAGAAGTTACATTTTATTTTTGTTTTTACTAAATAAATGTTTGTTGTTAAATATATATTTTGAATTTAAGCCTTTTAGCAAAGATACCAAAACTATAGTTATTACAGAAATACTCTTTCTTATAAGATTAGTAAAACTTCTTTATATACAAAAATGAAAAAATAGGTATGTTTGATTCAATTTTTCATTTATAACGCGCAATGCGCATTGTATATAATATTAGACCATTAAGTAATACTTTACTCAATGATTAAACATTATTGTAATAAAATAAGTTTTCCAAAGATTTTTATAAAATGGTTTTTTTGTGCAGACCAAGTAAAGATTTGAACATTAGGTATTTCCCAAATAGGCCATTTCTAATCTAAACAGGTGGTAGTAACTTTGGCGTCCATAACAGAATTTCCGACTGGTAGTAACTTTTGACTCAGTGGCTGCAGTTCCGACCAGTAGGAACTTTAGTCTTGGAGACTTAAGTTCCTACTGGTAGGAACTGTAGACAGTCCCTTTATTTTAACGATTATATGACATTTCACAACTGTCAACTAACTTAAAGCTAACTTGGCTAGAACGCCATGGCACAAAGTGTCATGGAAACATGTGCGTAAATATTGAGAAATATTTCGTCATTCTTTATAATGTCAAAAACTAGGACGTCCCAAACACAATAAACGTCAAAAATATATAACCTGTATGATATTTTCTTCAAACCTACACAAAGAAAATTTGGCAACGTAGATTTGTCTTAAGTGGCAACGCCGCAGCTCAGTGAAGTTCGTCCTAGGGGAAATCAAATCAGCAGTGGAAAATCTGACAAATAAATCTAGTCGCCGATGACTGAAACAAATGGTTGGCCGTTTTGTTTGCAGATTAAATGAAATTAAAGTTTTCAACTGTGTATAAAGTTTATTTGTTTGGTATATAAGAAATTTACAACTATGTACAGCAGCACTATTTGTTTTTAGCTTAACAAGTAAGTAAATTGTAGGAAGTTTTAGACAAATAAATGAAGATTGGAACTGTTTTGGTAAACCTAAAAAAATCATGATGCATCACTATAGGTACATCCTTTATTATGCTATTTTTTGCGCAATCATAAAAATAACAAAATTCTTACAAATGACTAAATGATTGCGCAGAAATATATATACAAATATAATGGTTAATGTGCAAATAAAATTAATAACAACATGAAGTGCAAAAAGGGCTATTCTGTTAAATAAAAAAATAAAAAGCTTCCACCAAAGCAAGAGCAAACAAAATCGACTTACCTATTATGTATAAATGCAATCACAAATTTTATTGTATAAAATACTATTTAAAATTGGTACATCTGTAACCTTCGGGTTTGGTTTTAACTATATTTTTTGTTTCACATTAAGTTGTGCTTTACTATTTTTTGTTTCACATTAAATTGTGCTTTACTATTTTTTGTTTCACATTAAATTGTGCTTTACTTTTTGTTGAATATATTATACCATTGGTTTAGTGTTGAGCACTTAAATCGGTGGGTTTTTCCTTTAATATTTCCGATGTTAATATTCATAACTTTAAAATCTTGCCTTAATTGTTTTAATTAATATTTGCTTAATATCCATAACTTTAAACTCTTGCTTTAATTGTTTTACTTATTACTTACCTAATATTTATAACCTTAAAATCTTTAATTATTTAACTTCATAACTTGCCTTGATATTGAAACTACGTATAACTCATGAGACTTTATTGAGCAACAACAACAACAATACAAAGTGTTTTATAGCCATGTCACTCAGGTTGTCATATTCTTGGCAGTCCATTCGGCTAAGATTTCCTAAAAGGAAAAGTGGTGTTATCAAGCGAATATGCAGTTTAATTGAGTCATAGCTTAAATATTATTTGTTTTTCTTTTATTAATAACTTTGTGGGATGGGAATAAAAGTTTACCTTTGTTTATTAGTTGCAGAACATCCTACTTGTATTTTGCGTATTTTGGCTGTTAAAGGGTTTGACAGGCCATTGAGGTCACCTAAAAAGAATACGTTTTATTATTGCCTTGAGACAGCTAGGGATGCGTAAAGAATAAGTTAGGATAGTATATATTCAAGTTACTTACCACTTTTTTTGTTTACAACATTTAGAATTGTATGTCAGTCGGCAAAGTCGTCTGCGGTATTTGACGTTTCATCTGTCACAATTAGGAGATTTCGTTCGGTAAAATTTAGACATTCGACTGGTATAATACCAGTGGTATTCATTGACGGTTGCGGGGTTGCCAAATACAAATCTTTAGATTTTGAGCACGTACGGCGGGTCCGACTCATGGTGCAATACATAAATATAGTGTTAGATATCGCGAGGTTGTAAACGAATATGCACAGTATGTTCGACGTTAGAGGCAGGTTCGCTGATAATACTATATAAATGTAAAGACCCATCCGGCAACACCGAGACACTTGAACTACTCGGCTGTTGCATTATTAATTAAAATGTCAAATTTCGAGCGATAAAGATAGCCTAGATTCTCCTGTTGTTGTGTTTTGTTCTTTGTTTGAACTATCGGTTAAACTAAGGTCTTAAAATCATTCTTATTCTTCTGCGTTTAATTTCTACTGTTAGATGTTTTGATTTCCGTGCCAATTTTTGGTAGTATTACGCACATCCGGGCAAGAACGTTCTAGAACCTGGTGGAAACAGGAAATGGTTTTTTAAGGGACGCTAGCCCTCATTACTTGGCAATTGTGTGTTCAGCAGACAAGTACGTAGTAAATTTTGGCTTTTCACGCCTAACCTGATAAAGGGATATAAACGTGCTTTTCTAACTTGGAAGTTGTGCTGTTGTTTTGGCATTGTGTTTTGAAGGAATCAAACGGCTTCCAAACGGCTTTGTAGCCGGATTAAAACTGAACCACTGCTAATATTTTTCCACGTGGGTTTCCATACGTTTCCACCATAAGTTCGTAAAGGACATCAACTCCATATAGGGGACAACCCAGAGGAATAAGAATCATTTAACCCTTATTATCAAGGTAGGGCATATTTTTTATATTGAGAGACGAGTTCTCAGGTGGGTTTATTTTATTTTTAGGGTTTTAATTCTGGGCCTAGAGCCTCAGTCTAAGTCTCAAGCAAGTTTATTGTATCAAGTATAAAGATCAAATTGTTTTAAGTTACACCTCCTGTGTCACCCACGATCACCAGGATATTAGATATTGGATACCGTACACGGATGGACTGACGTGCAATTCTTACCGGAAAAGCTCCACGTACACCAATTTTGTATTACAAAGTACATAACTAAGGTCAGATCCATTTCTTTCACTAACAATTAGGTCCTGGTAGAATATTTTTTTTAAATTTAATCATCTTTAATATAAACTTCGAATAGTGTGAACTGCGGGTACATTGGCCAATATACACGAAGGGTTATTAACATCAAACTGTAATACCAGGGTACTTTTAAATAACTTGTACTTTAAAATAACTTATCTTGAGATCTGATTTAAGTATTTTTTTTATACTGTGTAACTTCGTGTAAAATACACTTCAATTTTTTTTAGTAATTTCTTTTATTCTAATCTCACAAAAAAATTACTTGGTGCCCAATTCTAAAAAAATTTATAAGGTAAGTAGTAGTTACGAAGGACATTCACCCACGACCATCTGAGCTAGCGGGATTTTGTGGTTCAGAGTCTACGTTAGGGATTCTGCGCTATAAATTTGGCGCCCAAACGTTCTTCGTGATTGCTACTGACTTTTTGTTTGTAAAAATTTTTTTTTGAATTTAGATTTTTTTTAAATATTAGTTTTTTGAATTCTAAAACCCAACTACTTTGGTTTAAGCAACACGGGTTGCTTAAAATTTTTTGGAAGGGGGTGAATTTAAGATTGTTTAGCACTAGTACACTGACTAATATTTTTTTAATTTTTTTTGATTTTTTTTTTATTGTATTACCATTTGATTACATTACTTTGCCACTTATATTTTTTTTGCTGCGTATTGTTGTTGTGTTACTGTATCCATCATGAGCGTTAATAAACTTAAGGTTTATCTGTTGAAACAAGATGAACTTCAATACGAATGTACTATACGAGGGTTAAATACGGGTACAGTTGCGGAGATGAAAAAGTCTTTAACATCTTTTATGAAAATGCAAACCGAGGGTTTAACTTTTAAAACACATACCTATCCATTTACTTTTGCGGAAGATAGTACGGCGATTAAGGCAAAGTTAGACGAAATACAATCTGCGGTTGACAGGGTTCAGTCAGTGTCAGAGTTTCAAAAGGTTTTTCCTAGGCTAGAGTCGAAGTTAGTCCATGTTATAGGTAGAATAGAGAAGTCAGTCCCTACAGGTGAGGATGAACAAAAACAGGTTCGAGACCTGCTGACCATATCGGTCATGCTCATGGAAACGCTCAAAGAAAAGTGTGAGTTTTCCACAGATACCCTTGCAGATATAAGTGTACTCGTTGTTGAATCGGACTCTGACCACTCCGAAATTGAAGGAGAGGGTACTGGGGAAGCTAATGTTTCTTTGGGGCAAAACCAAAGTATTCGTTTTGACAGGCGATTGCAACTGAGCAAGTGGAATCTCACTTTCTCCGGTGACAAAAAGGGTATGTCGTTCAACGCATTCTTTGAGAGAGTCCAGGAGTTGGCTGTAGCAAGAGGTGTTTCTGAGGCTGAGCTATTTAATGGAGCGGTTGATCTTTTTTCAGGCAAGGCTCTTATCTATTACAGGGCCATAAAACATACAGTTTCAGATTGGAAGTCCTTAGTTAAAAAGTTTCGCGAGGAGTTCCTTCCCCCTTTTAACAACGAAAGACTTCTGGAGGAGATTAAAAAGCGCACTATGGGTGCGGATGAGTCAGTTGGCATTTATGTCTCTATCATGATTTCACTTTTCAATAGGTTGACCTGTACTATCACTGAGAAAATGAAGATCGAAATAATCCGGCGAAATATGTTACCCTTTTTCCAGACACAATTAGCCTTGTTAGATATTTCCACCATTGATGACCTTGTTAGTCGTTGTAGGCAGTTGGAAAATACCCGTGTCTCGGTTGATAGCTATGTACCTCCTCCGAGAAGAAACTTGTCAATGTTGGAGCCTGACCTGGCATATATTGGTAGCGATCCTGAGCCTAATTTAGCTATAGCTTCCACATCAAACTCCCCATATGTTGAAAGTTCATCTAAGCCAATAATCTGTTTTAATTGCCAGCAACCCGGACATAGAGCTATAGGTTGTGGTCAGCCTAAGCGGAAGCAATGCTACCAATGCAAGTTGGACGGTCATACGGTACGAACTTGTCCCAGGTGCAATAAAGGTCAAAGGTCGGGAAACGCCAACGGTCATTCATAGGTGGTCAATATGAAGTGACCAATAGCTCTATTTTGGCCAATAAATTTCAACCTATTCTAAACTACATTTTGGATCACGCAAAGAATGATGAACGCCCTTATTTAAATGTACGTATTTTTGGAATTTGTGTAATGGGTTTGTTAGATTCGGGTGCTTCTAGAACGTTCTTGGGTGGTTCTGGTTATGAGTTGTGTCAAGGTTTAGGTTTGAGCGTTGATCGAAGTAAGTCGACCAGTGTTGTTTTGGCCAACGGAAATAGATGTACGACGTTAGGAACTTGCACTTTGCCGATAAGCTTGAGAGATCGTACTAAGTTAATCGAGGTTATAGTTGTCCCTGAGATGCCTCATTTTCTGATTTTGGGGGCTGATTTTTGGGTGATGATGGGCATTGTTCCAGACTTGCGGAATAACGAATGGACTTTTTCCAAAGAACCTCAGTGTCATTCTCTTGATTCCCATCTTAAATCTCACTGTGTTTTATCACAAAGCCAACAAAAACTCCTCCAGGAAGTAATCGATAGAAACCATGAGTTGTTTGGAGAAGAGTTGGGTTGCACCAACATGATGGAACATGTCATCGTAGCTAAGTCAGCTCCGTTAAAGCAGAGGTATTATCCGGTTTCTCCTGTCCTCCAAAAAGCAATAAATGATGAGCTTGATAGTATGTTGGCTAAGGGTATAGT